ATCCAGAAAGTATTAGAAAATAGAAGCTTCAGAGTATCAAGTAAATTAAAAAATTACTTAATCGTGGATAAGATAGTTGAGACAATTTAGTTTAAAAGACTCAAAATAAAATTAATCAAGGTTAAAGAACATAGCGGTATTAAGTGGAATGAGATAGCAGACAAGCTAGCGAAAGAAGGTGCAGCTTTAGACGAAGATTGGTCAATTAGTGATTTGCTAGGGTCTAGATAGCTATTCAGTGTAAGGTGGCAAGACGAACAAGTAGACTCTCCAATAAAATCTTTTATACTCCAGATTACCGGCATAAAGACTAAAAGCAGCTGGTATATGCAAAAGAAGATGCATCTACATAGCGAAAACAAGAAAGCAGAAAACTTATTTTGGGATAATTGTTGGGGAAGATTTAAAGAGTACAGAGACATGAGATGTGACTCAGTGGAAAAAAGTTTTAGATTAATGAAGTATATTAAAAATTTGTCACAAACTCTTCCAACAAAAAGTGTCCTATACAAGAGAAGTCTGTCTGTGTATTTGGACCCTTTTTGTGTCCTGTGTGGCACCCAGAAAATGTGTACCGGATTGGGTTTGAATGATGGTCTAGAAAATATCTTCGAATTTTTACGTTTTTTTTTTCTTTTTACTAAGACTTTATTTTTCAATTATAGCAATAATATAAAGCAATATTTAATACAATTTTACAACATATATCCAATGCATAGAATAATACAAATAAACTTGAATTTCGACATTATAATAATTTATTTCTTTTTAACTATTTGGTTTGTTTTCTTCGATAATTTATATACTCTTTTGCAATCATTCTTTATGCCCTTCATTTTAAATTAATAGATATTTTCTTTCTGAATATTCATTGACTGTAAGAAATTTGGTGAAATAGATAAGACACTAACTTGTCTATCGATAGAGATTCAGATTTTCGTATCCTTCTTGAAATATTTAATGTCGGCAAGAAGTGGCTATTATTGTTAACATTGCTAATGATAAGTTGAAAACTTTCAATAGATATAATATACATTAGATCTTTGTTGCTATATAAATATTAAATAAATTCTGAATTGGTATCAATTAAAATTTAAAATACCAACCTACTTTTAAACGATCAAATATTGATTATTTTCTTATTTGGCTATTCAATTTGTGACGCATAAACAACAAAATTTTTTTGAGAAATGATATAGGTAAATTTAATATACTCTATTTTGCTAAGTTCTAATTTGATGTAATTAATTAAATAAAGCTTACAATATAAAATATATACTTAACAAATATTGCATTGCTTTTATTTTTTGCAAGAAAAAAAAACAAACGAAAAATATTATTGATTATTATAATTCAAATAATGATAAAATAATGACAATAAGTATTTTTATTTTATTAGCTAGACAATGTACGTATGTAAATACATAATTTTTGTTTCTAGTTCCGAATGTTATACCATTCCGATCTAGCTTTCCGGATGATCATCCGATTTCAACCTGGTATACATTTTCCAGATGCTCCTGTGTGAAAATAATAAGGAGGAAAATGCAGATCATCTCATGCAGTATTAGGCACTAAATAAGACATGGTGGGAAATCAAAAAGTTCAGTATTAGTCTAGCTTGGGCATCAATAGATGAAGTTTATAGGGTAGCTTTAACAGTACAAAACTTGTGGAAAGCAGTTCTCAGTTCAACATTAGTCGAGAGAGTCAAGATGCGTAGTCTTCTGTCAAAGAGTCTTTTTAAATGCAGCACACTTTTGTGGTTAATTAGCATTTTAGAGAACGAAGCTGTAGCACTGAAAACTCTAAAAGCAACTAGTTTTGGTATGCAAAAATGCTTTCACAGATTGGTATGGAGTGATAGATATAGAAAATTTATTACATGAAAAAAAGAAAACAATATTGGTGCCGAGGAAAAATGACACAAAAAAAGCGAAAAAAAGAAAAGACCTTGTAGAAAGGAGAATATCGTACCCAGTCAAAGTAGTAATGGTGCAGACCAACCTAGCACAAATAAGCGAATAAAGGTGGTAGGGGTAGATCAGTTGGTAGAGTTGGAAGTAAAGCATTTGTCGGAGGTTGCAGTAAGACAGAGAATTTTAAGTTCTAATCCACCAAGTTGGTGGACTAAAAGATTGTAAATATTTGATAAGAGCTAAGCCCAGGCTAGATCATATCTTTAAATATGTCACAATATATGTGGGATATAGTGGCCAACATTAGTGCGGTAGCCAAACTTGGGCATCTTGAAGAGACAGCCGGGTTTTAGTCTAATTAGATTATTAAATAGCTTAGTTATGTATTAAGTAGTAAATATTTAATAAAATTTTAGTATGCGGTTATCAAAGAAAAAAAAAAAAAAAATTAAATCTAGTCTATTAAATCTAATCTATTAAATCTATTCATTACTACTTCAATCTTTACTAAACTGGATCTAAATTTGTTAAATACTATATTCGTTCTTTTACCCTCTTAATCTAAGCTAAGTTTTATTTTCTTATTTATTTATTCATTTATTTCACTCTATTTTCTTATTTATTTATTCGTTTATTTCACTAATTTAATGATTATTTATTATTAATATTCAATTTTATCTATATATTATTAGATATATATCTATATTTGAGAATCTATTTGTTTTCTATACTATTAAAAATTTTGTATTAGTAACTTATACTAAATTAAGGTTTAGATTCGTTCTCACTATATTAATAGTTTACTATAGACTAATAGGGTTTATTAAATCATATTTATTTATTTTTTATATAAATCAGGTTCTAAAATTGATCTAATCTAATAAAGACTGCATCTAAGCTAAGTTATATTTATTTATATTCTCTATTATTCTTGTAAACTATAAGGTATTTGTTCACTTAATAAAATTATTTATTCTAATAAGTTTATGTAAAAAGTATAGGAATTTTGATTCTCTTACATGTGGATTAATTATAATAATATATAAATTTAGCTTCACACTTATCTATAAGACTTTGAAATTTATACAAATCTAAAATTGTTCAATTTTAACGATTAAAGTAAATATTCTTTAACAATTGAGCAATGATTAACGATTAAAGTAAGTATTAGAGACTATATAGAAGATTTAATAGTCTACATTAGAATACTTTATAATATATATTCATAATCAAAGCTATACTTACGATCATATCTAATATTACTTTACATCACATATATCTTCTGATGTTAAATAATTATTAGTTATAAAATCAATTTATCTAATAAAGTATAAAAAATATGGAAATTAGTGAGTTTATACATAAAAAATTAAATAAATTTTATGTTTTTCATCGATTCTGTAATTTAAAAAAAATGGCAAAAGTTAATATATTATTTTTTTACATATATTTTATTAGTATTTCAGATTTTTCTGCCATTCCACAAGAATTCCAAAAAGTGGCACGGGTATTCCAATTAGTAAATTTACTATTAAAAAATCTTCAGATTCTGAAAAAAAAATGGCTATAAAAATTAAAAAGAACCTACTTGTCAATCATTAAAGATAAGTTAATTACCTGACTAAAATCGGTTAAATTTTCTTAATTCCGCATCTTGGCTATGCTACATTACACTGCTGGGCAGGTGCCCCTAGTAACAATATACTAGAGGTATCTGTACAAAATTATCGCAGTATATATATAATTAGGAGAATATTAAAGCCAGGTTCATTTAGGGTTAGTTTTTTTGATGTAGTTAAAATTATTTGCTTTATAAAGATATCAAGAATGCAATTTATATAATTTGTAGATCATTATATAAACGAACCTGGCTTTAATGGACCCTATAATTATCTAAATCATTTCTACCTAATCCCAAATTAGTAGGTTTGGGTGTAATCCTAGTATATGCATAGTATATATTTGCAATAAATAATATACAATCTTTTATATATACATACTTTATAAATACATAAATAAATATTCTATAAATGCACTTTTACTCGACATTATTTTGCAGATGTTTAATTTGATTTTATAACAAATAATCCAGATATCTGTGAAATTTTAAATAGGAAGTTAGCATTTCTATACAGAAAATCAATAATATAGATAGCTAACTATATATAAAATATAATTAAAAGCCTAATGACAGGTTTTTTCTAGTAGTACTCACATATATATACTGTATATGTATGTAAAAAAGCATCAATAATTTTTGTATAAATTATTATTATTATAAATTTTACAATATATAAATTTTTTAAATATGAATAAACGTACCCAATCTGCTTTAACTCTTAATAAAAAAACAATGGTTGTTTCAGTTTATAACTATTTTAATAAAAACAACCAAATTATTAGCAATAATATAAAAAATTTCAAAATTCATAATGAAGTTGCTATAGCTACTGGAGTTGGTACAGCTACAGTTGCAAGAATTATAACAGAATATAAAAAAACTAAAACTATTACTGCATCAAAACAAGGAAAACGACCTTTGAAAAAAATTGACTCAAGTATTATAAATAAAATTCAAGATTTTATTTATAAAGCAAATTGTAATGATATACCTATTTCTTTAGAAACACTTTGTACAAAATTAGCCAAATTTAATATAATAATTTCAAGATCTACACTTTCAAGATATTTAAAAAAATTAGGCTATTCTTATAGAAAAGACAAGCAACTTAATATTTTGTATGAATCAATACAAAATATTGCATATAGAGCAACCTATATTTGGCAAAGATTTGAAAATATAACAAATAATAATTTACCAACTTTACTAGAAATTTTTTTTGATTAGTCTTATTGTTATCTATATCATTAAAACAAATCAACTTGGTATTTAAAAAATAGTATAAATTATAGAAATGAAAATAAAGGTCCAATGCTTGTTATTTTTGGAGCTATTGCTATTTTTAGACATAATAATGGTAATCAACTTAAAGGTGAAATTGTTCCTTAATCACTTTTAATTTGGGATCCTACTATAAAAAAACCAAGTGGAAAAGAAAGAAGAAGAATAGATGAAGCTTCATGGCAAAAAATTCCAGAAGCTATAAAAAGAGCAAATATTAGTTCTGATATAGTAGATTACCATAGTAATTTTGATAGTAAAATTTTTGAGCCTGTATTTGATGAATTATGCAAAATCTTAAAAATGCTTATGGATCATGTATGATTCATATAAATAGAGCAAAATATCATAAAAGATGTAGTGTAACAATATCTACAACAAATAGTAACAAAGATACAATTAAAAATTGATTAACAGAAAAAAAAAAAAAATTTTAATTAGAAGTCCACAAGTAAGCCAGTGAGTGATATAGTAAAATGTGACTCAGATTATTATATAAATTTACTATAGTGCGAATATGGCCTGCATGAATTTAAACCTTTTTTTATACTAAGTTAATCACCTTTCTAATTTAAGAGACTTTTGTAAAGCTTGTTAAAATACATCTAATGGTAGTTAGAACGTCAAAATCAGCCTGGTGAGTGCTGAGATATCTTTAAAAAACCTTTCTTTTACTATATAAATTTCTTTAAAAACAATACTACAGTTAGGGAATATATCGAATTTGGTCACTGATGATCACCTTTTATTTAGTAATGATTATCAGTCTAATTATTCTAGATTTTTTTTTCGAATATTCCACGTGTTATATGTGGGACAAAAGAAAAGAATTTTTTTATAATAAAAAACCTAGATGGAATTAAAATTTTATATGTAATAATTTATAAAACTTGATATAAAATATGTAAATAAATAACAAAAGCAGATGGGTTGATATTCTTTATATATAATAAAGCATATAAAATTAATAAAATTTACAACTGATTAAGGTTTTTATCTAGATCTATTGAGTAATTATAATGCTTAAGCAAATCTTAATAATATCATACTTGTATGTACTATTGATTTTTATTTAAAGCTATAACAATATTTATACATTACTTCGATTGCCTAAGGTAGCACTTAAAAATACTCTAAAGTTAAATTATACTATACCAAGTAATAGTCTTTATACATATTAGCTGAATCAAACATAAATAAATAATAATAAATATTCATGAGTTTGTATAAATATATTAAAAAATAAATTAATTCTTACTTAAATTATTTTCAAGCAGCTTTTTAATGCGATCTAGCAATCAAAGTTTGATTAATCAAAGCAATTCTTATAAAAATTTTGTTAAAATAACACAATACGTAGTATATACTACAATAATTTAATAAATAACATTTATATTTACCAAAAGATGAAATTAATGATAAGATTGTGTTATATGGAATTAGAGAGATATTGTGAAATACAAGTGTCTAAATTTAAAATAACTTAACTTAATCATTCCAATTAATAATAGACATTAAATGCTATTAAATAAACTAATATATTATTAAATTGTGTAGTAATATAGATTTTAGCTTGAACAATTGGCATGCAAGATTACATTCTTATCTCTTAGTTTGTGCATAACAAATTCCTATATTTTAGTTATTATTTACTTTTTTAATATGTAAAAACTCGCATAGATTATTGTGGATTATTTAAACTTAATGTCTTACACTATCTACTTGTGTATTTATTTCTGGGTTTTTAATAATAAATTAAAGCGTAAAAAATTTCTGAAAATAGGGTGCACAAAAGCCAATTAAATTCAGTAGATTGTTCTAGAACCCGATCTTCTAATTTGGTATATTCTCTGACTGTACTATTGTTTGCAAAAAAATTTACATAGTAAAAGAAAGGTTTTTTAAAGATATCTCAGCACTCACCAGGCCAATTTTGATGGTTTAACTACCATTAGATGCATTTTGACAAGCTTTACAAAAGTCTCTTAAGTTAGAAAGGTGATTAATTTAGTATAAAAAAAAGTTTTAGATTTGCGCAAGCCACATTTGCACTATAGTAAATTTATATAGTAATCTGAGTCATATCACTCTCTGGTTTACTCGTGAACTCCCAATTAATGAAAAAAGTAGAATTACTTAACTTAGTAAAAATACACAAAGAATTTATTCCTTTTGCTGTAGTAGAAATTGCAAAAAAATATAATCATCAAGTATTTTATACTCCTCCATATTATTGTGAATTACAACCAATTGAACAAATATAGGGAATTGTAAAAAATAATATAGTATATGAAAAATCATCATTAAATACACTTCAACTTAGAAATAGATTATTAGAATTATTTTCATTAGAAATTAATTCTGATAATATTGTTAAAAGGTTTTGAAAAAGCAAAAGATTATAAAAAAGCAATTGAAAATAATAATAATATTTATAACATTAGTAATGATGATGATGATAATGATAATTATAATAATAATAATCATAATTCTGGTTCTAATTCAGAATAAATAAATTAAAAATTTAATAATACAATTTTTATTTGTATATTACATATATATATATAAATATTTATATTATAATAAAATAAAAAATCATATTACATTATCACAACAATAATCTTTCTTAATTTTGATAAAGTAATTGAGATTTTCATGACATTTAGCAACAACAACAGAACCACTAGTCACCCACACAAAGAAATTCAGCAAAAAAATATCACATTCATTCTACACTAATAACTCAATCCCGTATATCCTATTAAATTCACTCTTCACAAATAAAACCATTCTATTATTTCTCTATAGTCTACCCTAAACCATTATCTCCACATTCAATTCCCAATTCGAGTGTTTACATCCGAAATATTTCCTTAATGCTTCTATATCCCATACCTGCTACTGATAATGTCATTAACCTAAAGAAACGTTAGTAGGATA